TGACAGGTAAAGATCGATCGTGCACACAGGCAGAAACAGGCGCCCGCACACACACACACACACACACACACACACACACACACACACACACACACACACACACACACACACACACACCATATAAATACACACACAAGTGTGCGCATACAAGCGTGAATAGACAGCGACATGCGCCAGCCACGTAAACACAGTCGCATGCTGACACACACCCACACCTCTGGTGGCATCGTATGACACACACACACACACACACACACACACACACACACACACACACACACACGCGCACACACACCCGGGGTCGTATGACCTCCTGCGGGCTGTCCTGAGTAGCGGTCCCAAAACTTCTCTTTATCTTCTATTTAATCAAAAAAAAAAACACACAGCGCGGCTGGGTCGAAGGTCGCTAAGCCCCTCTCCCCTCTCGGCACCCGCAAACGCGCCGACAGACACACACATCCAGTGGCGTGAGTGGGCGGGGGGCAGGGCGACAAGCCAGCGAGCAGGTGAAGGAGCGCGCGTGGCTGGCGGCGAGTTTTGGGGGCCACCGCTGCGCAAGAGATGACGGACACCGGCGCGGCGTTGGAGGAAGACGGCGGCGGCAGAACGGCTTCGCGGACGCACTGCCGAGAGCACAACAAGGACAAACACGCGCCGGGCAGGTCAGAGCTCGGTCTTCGTCTTCACATGGTTTTCGACGCAGGTTGGACGTCCGTGTCAAAGGAAATGACAACGCGTCTTGTTCAGTTCTGCGGCGGACGCGGCGTCCGAGAGGCGCCAAAGAAGTCCACCGCGCGCGCTCGGCGAGCGTCTGCACAACTGCGAGGTCGAGCATCAACAACAAAATCAACATGCGCCCCAACAGCAAAACCCAAATCAAGCACATCAGGACGCGTCGGCGTGCAGGAGGGCAGCGCCGGCCAGGTAAACAACAGCGATGACAAAACGCAATCACACGCACACACACACGATACATGCAGCCGTGTGTGTGTGCGTACGCGCCAGGTCAAAGACGTTTGACGCGTCCGAGCTGACTCCCGTGCAAAGCGAGCTGAACTCAAAGCTGGAGAGGAAGAAGTCTCCCTACAGTCAGGTAGGTGACACACACACACACACACACACACACACACACACACACACACACGCGGCTTGACACATTCATGCATCGCCCGCATT